AGATGAGCTGAGCCTCTTAGTCCGGCAATAGTAAGGCGGAGATTATCAGCGGGTAACTCTCCTCTGGGCCAAGGAATATATATTTGAGGTGCTCAGGTAATTTTTTCAGCTCATCCTTATTGTTAGTGTCGCTCGCTGGTTCCCTTGCTGCTTGTTCAATGGATTTAGTAGGCGCTTGAATATCGTCGTTTGCCTCAGCTGAATTCTTTTTATCTTCCAGCTCGAGCGATCCATTATCTGAAATTCCTTCCAGGTTATCAAGTGTAATATGGTTCTCAAAAGTTATTATTTCATTTAACTCATTAATAAAATCACAATTTTCTTCCTGAGGTTGGCGTAGTGCTGAGTTCATGGAAAATGTGACTTTATCGCCACCAAAACTCAATGATATTTTTCCTTCAGCAACATTTATTGTAGCTTGAGCGGTGGCTAGGAAAGGTCTCCCTAATATGATTGGAATGTCGCGGTCTTCACTCATTTCCATAATAATGAAATCTACAGGGAAAATAAATTTGTTGCCATCACCATGCTCTAGCCTCTCGAATACACTGTGTCTTGTTTGCTTCCACTCTCGTCTCCATGTTTTTCACTTGTTGAGGCGCGGTTAATCCAAACAAACTCCCACCACATTGATCGGAGCTAGGAATAGGTTGGTATCAAATTTTATGTTTTGCTTGTCTATAAGCTTCAACCATCCTTCCTTTATAGCTCATTGTACTGCATTGCAGAAAGCTATACAGTGTCCAACCTGGTGACCGTAAATATTGTGTCGCTTGCAAAATGATTTGCCCTTCAATTCTTCGTCACGAGGAATTTTGTCTTTCTTTCAAACAGATCTGATTATCTCGCAACAAATAGTCAAAGATTTGTTCAGTCTTGGTAATATCGAAAGAGTACTTCTGCCAAAGATTGGCCCCTTTCCGCCGAAGACTGTCGTAGAGCTGGGCAAGTATACAACTTTTCTTGCAAAATTTCCGTGAGGCATGCCACCTCCAAATCATCTTCCAAATTTGGATCATCTTGAACTTGCACACAATGGGCGCCTGCATGGTATCTCTAATTTCGCGATGCCTGAGCATCCTTGAAATGTTGCTCTGTCTTGACCGCCTTGGATGTCAACTATCTCTGGTCCTGGTAACCCTGCAAAGCAAGCTATTCCCCAGAGAGTAGGATGCATATTGTCAATGGGGACATTCACCATTTGATTTCTCGAGAATATGGACTTTACACTTGTTTTTCGCCCTCCAGAATCGCTTGAGGAACTATTCCACTTACTCATTCGCCTTCTGTTGTAGGATGGTCAGATCTGCAATCGTCACAACTAGCGGATTGTAGAACCGCTCATGGAATGCTCGTTCTAGATATGTCCAATTATGTACTGAGTTGGGTCACATTAAAGTATACAAACTAAACGTTGGCCCTGTTAGTGATAAGGAAAAAAGATTTCATTTATATCGATCATTATTGTAGTATTCTTTGCCGCACTGAGCCGTAAAATGGCTCACATGCTCAATAGTTTGTAATACCCCCGGAGTTGGGTCGGTGCTAGGCCAACTCCCATGGATGAGCTGGTGTCAGGCCATCCGATGTTCAGTATAAGTTAAATGGATTGAATAGACTACTCGTGTTAATAAAGTGTACATTCCTTTTCGGAAGCCCTACTGAATGAACTCTAGAGTTAAGTGTGTTTGCCCTAGAGTAATTTGAGGATGGGTAACCCCCTGAGAGTCTCCAGGGTGTGCGTAAGTGAGGAAAGAAACGCGCTGGAAGGATTCGTGTTGACTTGTGGGGCCAGTCTACGATCCCGACATGCCACGAAATGACCGTTGATACTGCGGCCTGGCAGGCATTTGCAGAGGATCTCCATAAACTTTGTGTATTGCTTCTTCTAGAGCCTCCAGGTCCATCGACGGATTCTACTGCACTCCTTACAGTGCGAGATTTGGTGGAATCCGCTGAGGCTGAACTATAAATGGACGCACTTGCTGGGGGTGGAGGATTTGCCATCAGAGGTGGCAAATTTTGTTGTCCGGGCCCTCTGGCCAATGGCGCATATGAACTCCAAGGGTTTCCATAGTATAACGGAGAAACATATGGTAGTTGATTCCATGGATTCCAATTCCCACTGGGCATATGGGAATGATGACGGAAGATTTCCGTTTGGGCCGTAGTATTCTACTGATGTTCCGCGGGCCACTTTTCTCCCGAAGCAGGTTGGCTAGGCTGATGACTGAAGCCTGCGGGAAATCCGATTCCCTTTGTTGGTAGCACATTTTCTGATGTGCCTGCTGATGCTCCACCTCGCTGAATGATAGAAACATGTTCATATTGCAATTGGGGAGAAGATGGATTTGTTACCTGTGGCGGCTAATATGACGAAGTAGCATCGGTAGGTTCTTCTAGCGGTGTTTTTCCTTTTTCTAGCTTCCTTCCCTTATTAACAAAGCCATTTTATTTTGGATAGTCGGCCGTATCACACCGCTAAGTATTTAGACAACAATAAGGCAGAATCATGTAGAGATGATTGCACCTCATCCCTGTTTGTTCTCTAATGCTTCCTTCGGAAATAAGTAAGGCCATTGTTTGCCCCTCACTTCCGTCAGGGGCTACTGTGTTCCCGGTAATGGGATCGGTGTCACCAGGTGCATTTTTCTGACCTCGACTACCAACGGCGCTGACTCTTGGCAGCATGATCGGTGGCAATCGTCGATTCCGCAGCTGCATTCACAATAAGTGAGGCACGAAGTGATCGTGTCCTACTAGGTGTGCCAGTTTGTTGTATACGGAAATCCGTATATCCGAGTCTCTTGATGGCTTGATGAAGCCGGTTGAAGTGTTGCTAAGGGTTTCCTAAAGTACTCCCTTAGGTGATTGCTTCGTGTTTGTTGAATTTGGGATCGGTAAAAAATCCGCCGATCGGAGTTGAAAAAAAAAAAACTTAAAAAATAAATTTTCATTAAACTGAAAAGTAAAGGTACAAGTAGAATCGAAAGAAATCGATAAAGAAAACCGATAAAGTAAGGAATAGTAAAATACTAGAAAGGTAAAATATTAAAAAATAAAGATAAAAATATAAAAGCTGAAAATTGAGTTGGTCGGGGCTTCTTTTGCTTTGATGTGCATCTCTTCTTTGATAGCTTCTTTAAGTCTCTTCCATCGACTTCATTGAATTTCCTTATTTAATTTCCTTCGTGACAACCATTGTAACCTCATCTCTAAATGATCATGATCAAAGAACTACAACTTATGATTATCCGATGGTCGAAACCTCCCAAGGCATTTAAGTAGTCATTATTATACTTCTTAGCTCCCTTAATTAACACCTCCTTTATGCTGTAATTATTGCATCAAGAGTTACAAAGCTCATGATCATAACTCACACTCCTTTCTTCTTTAATTTCCATCAGTCTCTCGAATTCTTTCGATTCCCACGGACCTTTTCCGTAGTCCCCAACTTATGCTTCTTGTGCTGCTGCAACCAAGCTATTGTTACCTCTTCTAGGCTTTGTTTTCGGCCAATCATTTGCTCGTTAGGCTGCTATTTGGGTCTCGGAACTACTGCCTTTCTTCAACCCGGGCCACTGCTCCTTTATGAGGCCTTACCTTGGGCCTAGCTCCTTTCCCACAATTTTGGATTCAACACAAATCTATAATAGAACCTCGTCTCTCTCTCTATATATATATCATATATAAAAGAGTTTAGAGTTTTATCAAAATACTACGGCACTTTTGAAAATTCATTCAAAAACTCACTTCTGAAATTGTCTCCTCTCAGTACCTTTAGTCCAAGAGACCGTAGCCTCCCTCAATATTACTGCTCTCTTCCAAAAATTCTCCCCCACGTCTATTCTAAAAATACAGCAACAGTCAAAACAAATATAAAATAAAATAATATTTTTTCATCATCCGTCAAGTTTACGAAGTTTTTTCTTCCACTTAATTTACCCTAATCACTAATTTTAATAAAATAAAAAAATCAATATTTAACTATTATATTTGATTCAACTCTAATTTACAATAAATATCATTACATTTATCACTTTTATTCTCTTTTTTTATTATTATAATTTTTAACTAAATTTTCAAAAAAGTATAATTATTTTTTTTTTACTGTTATTACTATCTCAATAAAATATATATTTTTTAATCGGTCCTGCTACCAATACAATTTTGCATATCTACCATAAATAAATTCGTCGGAAAAAATAAAATAAAATAAAAAAACATATATAACAACCGTTTTTCTATTCTATATATAAGGGCATTTCCAAGGCCAAATTTGACGCCATTTTTATGCAGCGCCAATTTTGGTGTGCACTCTCTATTTTTTTTTTCATTTTTTTTTTTAAATTTATTTGTATTTTTTTAATCTTCTTTAAAATTACTGTAAATTATAAATATTAAAAATACTGTAACAATAGTATCTTTTGAGTTAAAACAGTAAAAATAGCATTTATGAGTTAAAAGATGACCTAAAATCATTGTTTTCTATGCTTAAAAAGATATATTGTATATAAATTCATTTACAATTTTCATTGAAGTGATTTCAGTGTTCAATGACAAATTGTTAGCAAATAAAATGATGTTCAGTGGCATCTTCGGACGTATATGTAAACATACACTTAAATTGGCAGTGCTATGTCAAATTATATGCAAAAGGAGCTCAAATTCACCTTTAAAACACCCAAAATAAGAGGGACATTTTTTCTTTTTCTTTTTCTTTTTTTCCAATCCACCAACAAAAACAAACACTCATATTACTAGTGCCGAGTGAACTAACTGGAAATGAAGATAGGAAGCGTAAACTAATTAACTGGAAATGATTTAGGAATGAACAATTGTTTCTTTGATTAAAACTTGACAGGAGCAGAGCAGAGCAGACACATGTTGTATGTGAGTCTCAGATGTAGATATGAGTGATAGATTGATGCTGTTTCTCTCCTTCAAAGGACAAATGAGATTAGATAATAATACTAATAATGTCCTTTTTGGGGAAGAGAAATAGAAATAAGGCATGGGCGAATGAATGTGGTAGGTGTACAAGTGTGTAGTGTTTGTTTACATACAGTTTAGATTACTTTAGTTTTGGTGGTAAATCAAAAGAATGGAACCTGCCTGCCGGCCAACTTGTAATTATCAATCAAGCAGTAGGTACATAAAAGGGATTGATTGCCCACTCCAGCACCAGCACCAGCACCTGCAAACAAACAATTAAACGGTAGTAGCAACTTAGGATTGATTAGTAACAATCACATCTATTGACTATCATCATCACTATTAATATTATTATTATTGTGGTCTGAAACTGCAACATCTCTTACTCACCTTAACAACTGTCTCCAAAGTCAAGTGAAGGCAAAAATCCTATCTTCAATCTTTGTACGGCAGAGGGGGCATTCTGAACATGCCAACGAACATGACTTGCATACTGCAAATTAAAACCACAAATAATAATAATAATAATCAAAACTCGTACACAGTACTGGTTTCTTAGGACTAGTGTTGAAATGCAATGGAACTTACAACTAAAATGACGACATGGAAGAAGCATTGCAGCTGTAGGGGATTCAAAACACACTTTACATACATGAGAATTCACATCTCCATTCCCAGTATTATACTTGAGTTCTTTCTCCTTCATCTCCTGCATTCGAGCCTGAAACAACACACAACCCATTTGACTAGACAGTTACTTGTTTTGGCCAGATTAACATAGCGGTTTAACCGTCACATGCACATACTACTCTGCCTCTGTTTTGATTTTGAAATGAAGCTATGTCAGAGAATCCTAGCAAACAAGATTTAAGATACAATAGTAATAATGCAAACTAATAAACCTTAAACCCAAACAAACAAGCAATGACAACCAATAGCAATCAAAGAGTCTAGTCTAGAGGTGAATATGATTTTGTAATAAACAGAAAATAGAGTTACAAGTACAATTGTTAAATGATAGATAATTTACCTTCAAGCGAACAACCAGAGGTTCTTCCTTGGTAGTGTTTGAAGTCGGTGTGGCATGATCTCCGAGGGCTCGGTCCTTTTCACCATCACCAGGAGCAGCACTTATGTGTTCCCTCTCCTCATTGACGCTGCTGTTCATCTTCTGCTCATTTCCGTCTTTCTTTAACTGAGCAACAAGCACCCACATGTTTGCAAGATCATTCTCTAAGGAAGCCTCCCTCTTCTTGGCTTCTTCAATCTTTTTGAGGTATTCATCCTCCAAAATTTCTTTCTCAGCCAACGCAGCCTCCAGAGTGGCCTCCCGTTGTTTCCGAGCCTGTAACTCCAATTTCAAATCATCTGAATCCAAATTCCATGAGTCAAAATCATCATTTGATCGGCTAGAAGCCCGGCTTCTACGACCGCCCTTCTGGATCTCTGAGTGCCTGCGACTACCACTGTTTCCAACGGGAAAGCTGGAATTTTTGGAGCTCAACTCCCGAGCAGCCTGTAATTCTTTTTCTAATTTGGCATTTTGTAATGACAACTTGGTAACTTCACCAGCTAAATTTTTTAGCTCTACAGCAGCAGCAGAAGCTAGTTCTTTAGCATAAGAAGCTTCCTCCGATAGTTTCTGGTTTTGTACACGTAAACCACTATTCTCCTCCACAGTTTGAACATGTTCTAGCTTCATTTTCTCACTGTCAATTTCCTGATTAAAGTAGAAAAGGAAGCAATTAGATTCAGAATCTTTCAACTTTGTGTAGTTTGCACCTTATCCACAATTAAAAAAGTGTCAAGGTATCTTCGCTTTTACAAAGCACCGAAAGTATCCACCTTTGACTTTGCACCATAATTTTTATAAGTTGGTAAACAAATTCTGCCTGTTCTCCAATCATAAGAAGAAAAGTATAAAATTTCCTGATAAAGCCCATCTTAAATTCAAAGGTAGTCACCTAGCCTCATATGGAAAAGTATGACAGAGTAAAGACTCGCACTGGTCCACTGGCCAAGATGATAGGATACTACAACTGGCTATTAAGCCTCTCCTTTGTGGTGCGAAGAAGCTTGAACTATTACCATAGAGTAATGTAGTAGTAAAATGAAAAAGAAAGTATTTACCATTGACTGCATCCTTCTTCTCAACTCCTTATATTCATCGGACATATGGACTTCAGATGGAATCTTGTCACTGGAAACTGAAGCTAGTTGCTGCTCCAGGTGGAAGATTTTCTCTTGCAATTCTTTGTTTTCAGCACACTGACAGTAATGAAAACTAAAACATCAGTAAAAATTAGATGTAAATTATCATGAAAATTTATGTTATTTGACCTTGTTCTGTAGCTGATCCTGAAGAACACGGTTATCCGCAGTTTTAATCTGCATTACAAGATGAACGTTTAACAAATTCCATAAGTACAATCGATGAAAACAGAAAAAGATAGTATAGTGTAAGAAAAGCAATTGTAGATGCAAGATAATAGCCTTATAAATACACAATAGTCAATTAGAAGAGTGTCCAGAAAAAGGAAAAGTGAAAAATAGACACCTCAAGCTCAAAGCCTTTCTCACTACATTGTGCTGTTAATTTCATGACCATCTGCACAAGAAAGGCAAGAATAATAACTTTCAAGTAGGTATTAACGTTTCTTTCAAGTATCCAGTAAAAAGATTAGCAGCATGATTTGTTAAATGAAATGGGGATGACCTGCTGCATTTCAACCATAGATGCATTGGCAACTGAAGCTTCACCACTCTCAACTATTCGCTGTTCTAATATTCTCATCTGAGTTCTCTTTTCATGGATTTCATGTTCCAAGCTTTGAATCTGTAAATAATAAGATCAACGATCAACAAAACCTAAGATGGATCATGAAGGTCATGTTGATACTAAACAAGTCATAGGCTAAAAGAGTCTGTTTTCAAGGAGGGTACTCATAGCAATTAAGGAAATCAAGGACCATCAACTTATAGGGTAAAAAAGAAAGACAGGCAATATAATGATTTATATAGCAATTGCAAATTACCTGCGTCTTGAAACTTTCAGGGTCATTAACAGACTGCTCAACCAGCCGCTTTAGAGTACTAGAGTTGAATGCAATCTCTCCAGCAAGCATCTTAACTTGCTCAACAAGCAGGTCCATTTCATCTGACATAGTTACTCCATCCTAAAACCACCATGAAAGCAACAAAATCACGCATTGACAAGATTTTCAATTAAAAAATTGTTACTCCTTCCGTCAGCGATAATTATATTAGGTTACTTCTTTTTAATTGTCCGTTGAACTTATGCACAATCTATTTATTTTATTGCAAAACACGTTATTCACTATCATTTTATTACCCCTACTTTTAATAAATAATAACCAATTTTTCACAATTTTATTTTAACTTACCCCATTACTTATTTATTAACTATTTAATAGATTTCTCATAATACTCATACTTTACATTTTTCCTAACCCACTTTTATATTAAAATAATATTATTTCTTAGTCTCCATGCCCATGCAAACAAGCTTAAATATTGTGGACAGAGGCAGTATTAAAGACCAAGGGCTTCAAAAAAAAATTCATATGATCGGAAAACACGTTCAACATGAAAACACAAGATCCTCAAAGTGAATAATGAACTAGATCAACTCATCTCAAAGCTTTCCGGTGCTTTGTGTTTTGATACCATTATTAGCTAACATCTCTAAATTATATCAGGCAACACTGAAAGAATCACCAATCAATTAACAAGACAGGTGAGAGCATACCATGGGCAGCTTTGACACAATGGAAGAACCACTTAGTTCGCCCACATGAGTTGTCTCAGTCATGGTGCTGCCAGCTTGCGATATATCATCAGTCCATTTGTTGAAAGATCTTATGTGTTTAAACTCGTGTGCATCAGATGTGATGGTTAAAGCAGAAGATGGAGAAGACTCTTTCTGATTTTCGTCATTGAGTTTTACAGAACTATCCCGCAGAACATCCAACTTCTGTTAGAGAAAACAGTAAATGGTGACTAAACAGTTGACAATAGTTGATGTACTGGGAGAGTAGGAAGCACTGATTCACAGAATCATGAAAGTCGTGTCTATTATGAACAAATTGGCAAAGTTGCAAATATCATGGTAAATTTTTGCTAGCCCCATTGATAACAAAAATTACATACCAATGACCAATGATATCTTTAGCTTAAACAGCTATATTAAAGTCCAACTTTAAAGCAATGAAAAATAATTCATGCAGAGAAGTGAGGACAACTGTTTAAATGCTTCTTTAATATATTTATAAGTAAATAATGAAAAACTTACGCCATCCTCAGACGCAGAATGAATCCGTTGACGAGATGGTGTGTCATTCATATATCCTGGTAATGTATTTTTAGACGAAACAAGTATTAATTTGGTTAGCCTTTGAATTCTGCTCATTAAAGCAGCCTTGGCTTCTTCTTCCTCCTCCAATCTTGATTGCATTTTGAATTGCCCTTCTTCCAACTACACATAACAAATATATGCAGCAAAAATAATCATGAGCTTAGTAGTTCCACACGTATAAATAAATTATTAGGAAACCAAACCACCAATTATGAGGTGCACCCTGGAAACCCATCGCAAGCAACTAGATGGCCATTTGAAAGTAAGAGTTACAGATACCTGCTGCTTTAAGACCATAATTTCCTCATGGTTGACACCGACAAGCATTCCCCTCCTAAGTTGATTGAGCTCTTCTTTGAGACATGATATTTCTTTTTGATACTTCTTAATCAACGATTTTTCATCAATGATCTGAAAATGAAATATGTAACAATATATTATTTCTTTGATAAAAATGTGCACCAACATTGAAGCATCCATGATTTCAAGCTCACCCTATTGCGGGAGGCATATATTTCAACACGTTTTGCCCTGCTGGCAAATTTCAAGGTGTTGTGGGTTTCTTCTGTATTGCTAGATGCAGGAGTAACTGTACATATAAGCTGCAGAAACAGAGAAAAAAAATTTGTTGAACTCACACTGCACCGATGCAGAGAAAGAAATGTGGGAGGAGGAGGTTGTAAAGAGAGGATGACAGATAACAAGACTTTGATCAGCAAGAGAATAATATAAATAGATTGAGAACGAAGGAGAACATTGCTTCAAATATTATGTGTAATCATGCTCACCGAAACATGACCACGCCCACTTAGTGAGGACTGTAGAAGTCGGGTAAGCTTTGAATCTCGGTAAGGAACATGGGATGCCTTGCCTTCACTAAGTTTTCCTATTACCTTTGAATTGAAGAAAATTGCAAAGCATCAGACCTGGATTAGGAATAGTATATAACAATAGCCTATTTTAAATGGTTACAAATCAGAGCAGAAATAATATTTTGATGCCAAAATTATGTACTAGCAGAACAGCTTGGCTAAAAGGAACCTCTGTAAGTATTCACATCGTAAGGAAAACGTACATAGTACTGGTAGGATTAAAAAAACATAAGATAAAGAGAGAAAACAAGGAAAATTCAACTACTGGAGTTTAACAAGGAAAAGTAAATTTATATACGAACTGTTCCAAGTGTCAGAAGACTTTTATTGATGTAAGATCCTTCCTTTCTCCTTAAACCAGTTGTTTCAGTTTTAGAGCTTTCAGATCCCGCTAAATCAATTAAGTTCTGCACAAAAATGACTAGGGATCAGTGAAAAAAAAAAACTGTTATGCATGGGATAGTAATGTAAATCTGTCTAGTTTAGAATGAATATACTCTTTTATATTCTAAATGACGAAAAGATACACATACCAACTGTGAGAATATCACACCATCATAATCATCACCATGTGCACTACTTTCAATCATCTGGGACCACCAGCACGAGCATTTAACAATTGGGTTGCACACAAATAAAAATTAGATAGATCAGAATGCAAAAAACAACAGGAGAAACAAAAGAAACATGCACCAATCCAAGAAACACATAATGAAATAATAAAAAATCTGTACTAAGGGGAAAAGGAAGGATGTAAATACACAGTAGTCAGAAAATTTTCCAAATAGAAGTAGACATGCCAATAGAGGGATGTTAAGCAATAGACAGTACAGCAGAATTCTGATTTAATATTAACGAAGCATTGCCACTGGAATTTTGTGATTCCATTCAGTAATCTATTCTAAATATTCAAAAACCAGTGCAATTTCCTTCTGCTGCCCATTCAGTGTGTGTTTCTGACAATTTTTCACTAAATAAAAGTTTCCATATAGATCCAAAAACCCTTGATTCAACCTTAAACAATCAATCAATGCAAAAATTAGGTCATGGAAAGATCTGTATTTCCCTTTGTTCACTGGTTCAAATGTATACTAATATCACCTTAAAACTAGAGTTAATGGTTTAAGTCAATTATGCATTCAAAGGAGTAACAGCGAGCAATCTAAGTTCAATAAACTGATCGCACATGCAGATGCATATATTTGTAAGTTCAAAGTTAGTATTAAAGCTCCGGTATTGCTCCAAACAGAACGTACCAATGTGAATATTGTATGGCTACGGCTGCTGAATAGGTTAAAATTATTTGACCCAACGTGTCGATGCTCTGCCATTGATAGTAAAACCAAATTCATCAATTGTAATAATGTCACTCTACATGAGACTTGGTACCTGCAACTAAGATAATCTCACCTTCTCCGGCAGCAATAAATGAAAGGGCATGTCCAGGGGACAAAACAACCTCTTCCTTTATGCCCTCAACATAAGTTCCCTATCCATATTTAGCAAGGAAAAATAAGCAAGAATAGAATATAATCGAAAAAAATGAAGAATAAAAGCTGCTAATTAAACAAATGCAAAGTTGTTGGACAATGCAAACTTATGAAAGTGTGGATAAAGGCTCAACCTACATATCAATCTACATAAAGTAATGCACTAGAACAGTTTCAAATAAATATAAATCACTCATTTTATGATTAAAACAAATAGAGTTCTAGTCATGTCCCTTAATTGTTTAGGAATCAATGAAATATTTGGAATATGCTGATCAAAGAAAATGGCATGCAAAAAGAACCACATAGAACAACAATGACCTGTGCATCCTCCCTCACACGCAAATTCTGTCCTGTTGGATCCAGCAAGTCATTAATCACCTGACAACAAAAGGTGAAAATGATATATCAATCACAGAGCATGCTAAAATTGAAGTTTTAATTCAGAGATTAAATTGACAACAATGGAAAAATAGAAAGGCTGTAAAAAAAATTCCTTATATGAACTTTGCAAGCAATAAACAACTTTTGTAAGACCTATAGTCAATGTACTAAGGATGCGTTCGTTTGAAGGATTTCGGAAAAATCTTACTATTCATCCAAATTTTTCCCCCAAAAAACATCAAATCAAACATCTATTTTTTATTTTTTATATTATACTAAAAATTAATTTTACATTTAAAACATCACATCAATACCTATTTATTTCAAATCATAGAACTATTACAATTCAAAAATTTTACTATTCAAATTTCAACTCAAAATTCAAACCCCCAACCAAACACACCCTAAATAAAAAAAAAAAAAAAAATCTTAAAATATTCAGAAATTACTCAACAATTGATATTATGTGATAAAATTCTACTAACCTCATTGTAGATTTCAAGATATGACACACGAAGTAGGAATTCACGGCCTGGAGTCTGAAAGGAAAATCACAGAAAATCAGCAATCTCAGGCTTTGTAGTATAAATACACAATTGGACAAAAGTATGAAGGAATAAGCCAAAGTACAGCCATATGTCAACTGAAAGGTTCACAACCCTCATCTGAATTTCATACAAGCAAACTTACATCTTGAATTATACTGAAAACATCCTTTATAGCCAATGGTATAACCCCTGGAGAGTTTTGATCTCCCTGATAAGAATAGTAGAAAACACCATGAGGAACACATAAGCACAACATCATAGTGTCATCAAGGTATGAAGCCTACTTCACTTAGAGACTCCAAGGCAAGTAAAAGTGACAAAACAGCAGCAGTACAAAATTAGATAAACCATACTGAGATGTGCATACATGCAACTATAGCACAGCGAAGGTCTATATACTAGACTAGAGGTTTCTATCCAATTAAAATTAAACAAAGGATATCATGCATCTGTCACGAAAACACTCACTTTATTCCTTGAAAGAAATTGATGAGACTGGCACCAACAACAAGACAATAATTGTAATACTAATTGTAATTCGATTGCCAATTTGGGATTCAATTATGCCAAATATAACTTTGTTCCCCTGAATCATACATTGTGATAAAAGTTCACAGAGAATCAAAATAACCAGGGTGTTACCTACATGCATAGTGTATGTCTTTCCACTGCTGGTAACACCATAAGCAAATACAGTTCCTACACATCAACTTCACCAGTGTTAATTTGCAAAAGCATTTATAGCTAAACTTAGCCAGTGTTCTCAAGGTTTTATGAGTTCTACAATAATTACATAAACAGGAAGTAGCATGCAATGCTGGCCATCACTCAGTAGAGTCTTAAACTGTAATGTGAGATATCAAGAGAAGCGTCAGGTTGGGGGTACCATTTACTCCTTCCATTGCAGCCTTAACAACAGGTCGTGCAGCAACTTCATACACTTCTTGAGTGTTTGTATTAGGCCCAAAGACTCTATCTGTTGCACAAAAATCAAATAAACTAAATGCGCAACATACCTAAAGCACGGATTATTAAAATTCTTGTACGGGTAATTCAAAATTGAGTATGAATAATTCAAAGTCTATTTGCTTGGTGCAAATTATGGTAATAATAACCATGCATATGTTCCAGCGAGATTTCTAACATAATGAGAGAACTAAGCTTACCAAATCCATATGCAGTCATTGGATTATACTCATTCCGAACAATTTTATCACCATCTGCGTACCATGTGATCTCATCTCCTCTTTGATATTCCCTTTCACTGTCACCACAGCACAAGCAAAAATCTATTCTCAATTCTCTAATTCGGAAGATCTTAAATCCTACCAACTTGGCAACTCAGATCTACATTAAATACATAATCACCTCATAGGTCGAAATCTAATCGTCACCGAAATGCTATCCCCCGATTTTGACACAGTTTCAGTTGGCTCTCCAACCGCCAGCTCTTCCATCGACGGATAACTCACCGGCGTCCGGCTTCGAGAATAATCACCTCTACTTTGGTGCGGCACCATGGATCTAGAGCCGCTAATGCCGAAGGGCGACGCAGAGTTTGAGCTTGAGCGCGGTATTAATCGACCATTCATCATCGAAGATGAAGACGACGTAGATGAGTAAGGACTCGACGGCTTCCGATAACCAAACGGCGAACTGCTCCTTCCTCTAGAAGACGAAGCCGCCATTTTACCAAAAAATCAACAAATTAACTAAAACTCCCAACCTACAATCAATTACAATGTGTACGCTCTTAATTCTCCAAAATTTGTACGCATCTTCCGACTCAATACAACATAAGTAAGAATATTCAAAACCACGTGATGCGAATCCGTAATGTGGCGAATATTGTCCAATTCCCAAATCCTTTAATGCCTCCCTACCTCGCCCGAACAAGAAGAGAAGAACACGCCTGCCTGCGTGAGGTCTTCGAGAGAAAACCTGGTTCCTTCTCCTCAAAGACAAAAGCAAAAAGAGAGGAGTTGCAGGGCGGGGGCGGAGGGGAGCGGAGCGGAGCGGAGGAAGGGAGCGATGAGTGAAAGACGAGACGTGGACTGGACCGGTGAGGAGTGAGAACGACGGCAGGGCTTTTATATTTTATTGTTATTTTATCTTTCTTTTTGGCATTCCCCAACCCGATTTTGAATTTAAACTTTTTTGGGTCTCCTGTTTATTTGTGTGATTAAAGGGTTTGTTTGTATGGTGGTGTTTCTGTTTCAAGGGTAAATTTTTTATCTAAAGTATAAATAATTGTATAAATACTATAAATCCCAATTAATTCATCTTGGTTAAAAAAATAAAAATAATAATAATGAAATTTAGGGTGTGTTTGTTCGGGGATTTGGATTTTGAGTTGAGATTTAAATAGTAAAAATTTTGAATTTGAATAGTTGTATGATGTGATATAAATAGGTATTGATGTGATGTTTTTAATGTAAAATTGATTTTTAATATAATATAAAAAATGAAAAATAGGTGTTTGATTTGATATTTTTTGGAGTAAAAAATTAAATGAACAGCAAAAATTTTGCAAAATCTTACAAACGACCCTTAATATATTGAGATTTATAAAAAGAGTTCAAAATTCTTAAAATGAAAAAAAGATTTCGATAATGAAGTACCATGTTACTTTAAATTCCTATTTCTATGGAATTTGAACTTTTATTTATATATCATTCTATATAAAAAATAATAGTATTATATAAATATATTTATATAAAATAAAATTTAAATAATTTTAAAATTAATTATTATTTGAATTATATATTTAATTAAATTTATATTAAATTTGATGGTATAATATTAATCTTTTAAAAATAAAAATTAACAAATTTGTTGTTTAAAATTTATTTATTTATTATAAATTTTATTTGAATGATAAAATCATAGGGATGGAAATGGGCTGGTTCATTCGGAATTGAGATCCGACTCGAATATATATTGTTAGACCCGAGACTTAAATTGAACCCGATTATATCGATCCGGCCCGAACTATACCCAGTAAGACCTAATGGATTCGACAAATTCAAATTTTTGTTAACAATTCTTAAATTTTAATTAAAATTAAATATGTATCGGACCTGACATATTAAAATGTATATATTTTATTAAAAATTATTATAATAAAATAATAAATAAATTAAACTCAAAAATATTTTTAATATAATTATATTGTTAGAAATTATTTTTTCATAGATATAGTGGATATATTATTAATATTATAAATTGAGTCTGGTCCAGATGGGGTCCGCCCTAAACTCTAAATCCAATTCAGACCCAATTAGAATATCTGAAATACGAACCGGACCCGAGTACAATATTCGAATAATTGGATCTAACCTCAAATAAATAGCTCGGTCGGGTCTTGGCTTAAGTTCTTCTTACATTGAAAATTGCATGGCACTCCTAATATTAAAAAAAAAAAAAAAAAAAAAAAAAATTGTCCTTTGTCTTTAAAAAAATGCTGCATGAAACCTCTTTTTAGATTTTTGTGTGATAAATAGATGATTTCTTATTTATATTTTTTTTGCATAGCTGACGTTTCATACAATATTTTTTTAAGTATAAAGAGGTGTTATACAATTTTTAAAATATAAAGTATTTACTCTAAGTTTCGAAATCAAATTGGATTAAAGATAATTTTGCCTAAAAATAATGAGTGTATATATATTAATTTTTTTGGAAATACGTTGAATATTTTTTGCTAAAATAATACACCCTTTGTTTTTTGGTCTAATAATAAAATTTTAAATAATTATTTGATATGATATTAATCTATATTGATACGATATTTTAAATTTAAAATTAAATTATGATTTAATATAATAAATATTTAATTTAATATTTTTTGAAAAAAAATCAAAAAAATAAAACAAAAAGTATTTCACAAGTAAACACACTGGCCAAAAACTTTCTATCCCTTTAGGTCTTGCTTGTCACAACTTAACATTAGTTACAGCTGCAATTTTAATCTTTATTTTATTTGATAACTTTTTATATTTGATAAAAATTAGTAAATTAAAATATAATAAACATGTACTCCTTCCGTCTCTCTCAATTAATTACGTCACATTTCTTTTTTAATTGTTTCATTTAATTATGCTGTTTTTCAGAAAAAAAGTAAAGATGAAAATAAATATGATCCAAAATATGAATACTCACTCGGATATGATATGAAAAATAGGACTTAGGCTGGATGTAGCTGAATTTTTTTTTCAAAAAATAAAAATAATTTAAAGTTTAATATTTTTTAAAAAAATATATAATTAATCAATTTTAACAATGTATTTGATTTTAGATTTTGGTTTTGCGAAATAAGTTGAATAAAATTTTAATTTAATATAAATATTATTAATATGATGTTTTGAATGTGAAATTAATTTTTGGTATAATATAAGAATGATAAATATATGTTTGATTTGAATATTTTTAAAAGAAAAAATTGGTAAATAGACTCTAACGGGGTGTGTTTTATCAGAATTTGGATTTTGAATAATAGTTTTTTCTAAAAATTTAATTAGATTGTTTGATATAATATAATATATATTGAGATGATATTTTTAATGTAAAATGATTTTTTAATATAATATAAAAATAAAAAGCAAGAGTTTTGATTTAATATTTTTAAAAGAAAAAAATCAAAGAACAAAGTTTGACTGTGCATTTTGTTGGAGGTTTAAAATTTGGATTTGGATTTTGAGAAGTTAGATTTTTCTTAATTTAAATATTTTTATGTTATATAAATTGCTATTGATATGATATTTTGTATAAAATTGATATTTTTAGTAGTATAATATAAAAAATAAAAATAAAAATTAAGAATTTGATTTAATATTTTGAAGTAAAAATTCAGTGAATAAACTTAACAATATGTTTGGGCGAGGTTTGAATTTGAGTATTGATAGTAAAAAATTTTAATTTAAATAAATTATTAGATATTACGTTAACATGTATTAAGGCAACTTCCAATAAAATCCCTATTTTTTATTATAAATTCTTATTTACTATCTTATTCTTTACTTCCTATTTTTATAATTTTATTCTTTTTCATTCCCTACCTATTTCAAAAAAATCATAATACCCTTCAGCAGTGTTTTGGTTCAAGTATTTAATGGGATTTGGATTTTAAAATCAAGTCCATGTTTGGTTAAAATAAAAAAGATGAAATTTAAAATAATGGAATATAAAAATGAGGTCAAAAATCCTGCAAATGAAAGATTTTTTTTTTTAATAGGGGTACCCCTATTACTTTTAAATCTTATTCCTGCAATTTTAATTTTTACTTTTATATCCTCCTAAAAGAAAATACTCCTTCCGTCCCATATAATTTGTCTCTATTTTCTATTTTCGTCCGTCCCACAATTTGTCCTTTCCTTTTTTGAAAAATTAATTATACACTTTAATCATATTTTAAAATTTAAATTTTAAATTTTTTTAATCTTAATTAAAATATTTAGTTATCTTAATCTTAATCTATAATTATTTTTACTAAATAATAATTATTTTTACTAATACATTTCTTAATTACTTACTAATTATATTTTACCTAAATTCTCGTATCTACAGTAATATACTCATATTATATGGGACGGAGGGAGTATTATATATTATAAATATATTTATATAAAATAAAAATTAAATAATTTTAAAATTAATTATTATTTGAATTATATATTCAATCAAATTTATATTATTTTTTTATGGTACAACATTTTTTTTAAATAAATTAATAAATTTATTGTTTAAAATTATTATTTATTATAAATTTTATTTGAGTTATAAAATTTTAGGGATGACAATGAGTCGGTTCAACCGGAACTGAGATTCGTCTCGAATTTATAATGTTAGATCCGAGACCCAAATTGGATTCGATTATACCGGACCGACCAAAACTATACTCGGTAAGACCGGATGGATCCGAAAAATCCAATTTTCTTTTTACAATTTTTAAATTTAAATTTAAAATTGCACATGTACTCGACCCAACATATAGTAAAATTTATATATTTTATTAAAAAATTATTGATATTTTTTCAATTTATATTAATAATAAATTAAAGGTTTAATTTATCAAAATAAATAAAATTCATTGGAGGACAATTATGTTATTTAGAATATAAAATTTCAAATCTTCAACTCATATGGAAAACAAACAAGATGTGAGAAATATAAATCTCACATAATTTTATGAACCAAACGTAAGATAGGATTCAAAATCCTAAACATAATAAATCTCATCACATATAAATCCTATTGTAAAATCTCAATCCCACCATTTCCATTCACTTTTTTCATCATTCTTCACAATCTCATAAAATTGATCTCTAATTTTATTTTAAATTTATTATTGTGAAGGAAATAAAATCAACCACCATAAACAAAATACCACCGACGATGGAAAAAACAACTAGGACAATCACAATATCTGATAATGAAAATTTTCATAGCTTTAGAGTATGTAATCTCTAAATTATACAAATATATTTATTTATAAATTTTATAGTGTTAGATTTTTTTATTTTCCTTAACTTAATTGTTAGATTTTTTGTTTTGGTTATGCAACAAATAACTAAATTTCATAACAATGTAAATATTGTCTTTTTAATTTATTGAGAGTGATGTATTTTGTTTGTTAACAGTATTTGTGATATTTAATTCATTATATTTCAATTCGAAAAGTACAATTTTTTTTTTTAAAAAAATATTGTTTTTCTCATATAAAAAATATAAGCGACATCATAACTTTATTTCAATTAAATGAAATTCACCATTGAGGTTTATTGTGCAATAGTAGAATATAAGAATCAAGTAAACACCAATATCTTTGAAATAAAAAATGTGTAGTGTTCAACTTTGAATGTATCATCCGACGATAACATATTGGAACTTGTCAGGAATTTAACCCTAAGTCCGGGATCTACCGTGTTATCATAATTGAGATAAAAATAAAGCAAAATAAATCTAACATTATTCCATTAGCATAGTCGAATTCGGATCTGCTAACAATGGAGGGTTTTGTGTTCTTTAAGCCTATGACGCAACCCCTCCTGAGCAAACCGCTAGGGTTTCTGCCGTTACTCCCACGATGAGATATGGAACGTAAT